GATTCAGAGATTCAGAGATTCAGAGATTCAGAGGTTCCGAGGTTCCGAGGTTCAGAGATTTAGAGATTCAGAGATTTACTAAACAAGTAACCTGGAGGCTCCTGTTTGCAGGGCACCTAATGAAGCAACTGAAACAGCATTTGCTCTTAGTCCTTAAGAAAAATTCTACCTCCTATTTCTCATTTAGGAGGATTCACTGAGCTGGAATGAAAAACCGTAACCAGTTCTTAAAATGTTGTAATGCAGATACCCCTCGCTCTAAACTGATTAATATTGTAGAATACCCTAAACCACAAGCTATATGCTGTGAATTTGGATTACCTTCTCAGAACATGGAACCTTGGTATTCACGTGAAGGATACTATTAGATAATTAACCCACTCAAAAAACTGGGCTCAAACGGAACCATTTACTATATAACAAGAAAGTTCAAACGTAAAAACGTTGCATGGAAATACCAAGGTCCTGTGATCCCCAAAACTGTTTCATGTTCTCTTGTTCCCTTGCTGGGAGACCCTCACACATACATGACCTCGGTCAAAATCTTTGCATGACGGGACGTTTGTTCATTATATTCCAATATCCAATCCGTCATAAACAGCGGACTGAATAATGTTTAACTGGAGTTAACTATTGAATTGTTGCAGGACATTTATTTTTTGTACATAACACACCTAACAATGGTTGTTTTGTGGTCTTCAATCAAACGTTCCTCTTGAGGCTTGCATCCTGATACTGAGAACATATTATCAAAGTTTAGTTCAAAAGTGTGGACTATCTTTATTTACTCATAACTCCAAGTTAAATTAATTAAAGACAGACAAAACTCTATAACTACTGCGAATATGTTCTTGAAAAGTTGTATAAAAGATAACGATCTTTTGGCGGTGAAAGGATCTTTTTCACGCATCGCAAGGTTTCCTGGAGAGGATAACTGTATCCTTGTGAAGCTCCTGAAAGGTTTGTTATCCTATGGTGTCGTAGCTGAAAACGCAGTCACAACTGCCAGCGGCAGTTGATTTATAGTGTACTTAGCTATCATAGGACAATAAAATGCATGGGGTGCTTGCAATACCTTCCACCAAATAAGACAAGATGATCTCATAACAACTCCCTGAACTTCTGCACATAGTACGATGTGGAGCAACGCTTCCACCAGCTAATCTCCCTTTTACCTCATGTTTGGACGTGAACAGCGTCTACCAGTTTATCTTATATGCAGACCAGATGACGACCAACCAATGGGAGATTGGCCCGCTACATATAAAGTGAATCTCAAATTAAGTAGGGGACCAAGCCCAGCACGCAAAGTTACCAGTCACAAGAAGAGTTATAAAAGGTCCATTTGTTTACCTTGGCAACCATAAACGAGGAAGATGAGTTCTTTGCATCTTTACCTTTTCTAACATATATTTATGATAAAAGACTAAAGCCATCAATACACTGCATTCAATTATAGAGAAAAATAACACAGATAGTGCAGGTGTTGAGTAAATAAAATGATCGATCTATTGACGGCATGTTTGTTTTTTGCAATCCTTGTGTGCGCACTGAATTGCATCAGCAAAAGCGCATGTGAAAACTGTGTTCAGCCACCTTAAAAGCAAAACAAACTCGCTTTTGAATGCACTTTTCAACGCTATAGTTTTAAAAAGAATATTGCTACGGATCTTGATCATGACTAATAAATATTCACGACAAAATTGGGACTAGAGAAAAAGTCCAGATAATCGAGGTACGGATAATAGAGGTTCGACTGTATGGGTGTTTACTGATACCCCTTCATGTCATAGCTGCAACTCATCGAGGAAATTTGAATGGTGATGTGAAATCGACCTGTTGTGAACCCCCCATAAACAGTCAACCAAAGACGATCATTTTTTCCCTCCCCAAAGACATTGTAAGATCCTCGCTCTGCCCAGGATATATAATCATATCATAATAGGTATTGGTGAATAAAATGCTCGGGGTGACCTGCAATGGACTAGCACATCACCAGGGCAGGGAAGGGGAGAGCGAGGGGAAGAACTAAGCCAGAGTGAGTGTGACGTGCCACTGGTCTGATGAAGAAGTCAAAGCCTGTGAAACGCGTAAGACTTGTTGCTGTACATTTAAAAGATTTCATGTGCATTTAAAAGACTTCATGTACAGGACAATGCAGTACAATACGGTTGTCTCCTATGCTTGAATTGTGTCTCAATATACAAATGAACTTATGTCATAGGTGACTTAGCTAAGCAGAATCTGTCGAACAATCCCGTTTATGTTTTTGTGCAACTGATCAACGTGTAAACTCACAGGGAAAAATATCTCGCTAAGGAAAAAAATAAAACAGAGAGTACTTTCATTGATAGCAGCACAATCTAAGGAACAGTGAACTTACCAAACTACTTTCTTTTTACGACTTCAGAGACACACTACAAGATGACTCCGAGCTTGCTTCGAGCTGCTTATCTGTGTTCGAACTCAGCTTGTTGCCATGGAAATTCTTTCTAGTACCCAGGCGCTTTGGAGCCGAACTTTGATCGGCGCAAAGGATCAAGGGCGGATATCCAAAGAGTTACTACCACAGGCTACAGGCCATGACCATATACATGAAGTCCTTAAAACTCGAGCCTGAAATAGCACCAGCATGGTTCGAGCACGGCCGCCAAATCGAGCTCTGAAAAGAGAAAAAATACTCGCCCTTGCAAAGGTAAACCTTAATATATATAGGTGATGCGAGTTTATAATGTTTGTTGTGTACGAAAAACCACAAAGGCAGAGATCGGTGGAATATTTTCGAGTTTGATCAGGGCGGCAAGAAGGGGTATAAGGGAATGGAAAATATAATAATTAATTCCATGTTTTGCAGACAATGTTTTTGACAGTTTGGTTGCAATCTGCAATCAGTCAGAATGTAGCGGTTTTGGGAAAACACACAGCAGTCAATGGGTTCATTTGCTGAGTACATAATTAAATACAATTTTTTGTAAGAGCACCATGCACAGCACAGCACAGTATTACTTTGCACTATATTAACTTGATCACATGCACCTGCACCTGCTCCAGCACTCCGTGGCGGGATGGGCAACCTTTGCCATCTTGACGGATAGGCAAAGCGGTCAGAAATTACGGTGTTTCCAGGCGTAGTCAATCGATAAACCGATAATCGTTATCAATCAATAACAATCAATACAATATTATTTTAGTCCTTTTACAAGTTACACAGATAAAATGATTGATAATTTTTTCTGTAATGGTGTTATTGAGTCATTTTATATTTATAGCCGGTGTATCTTTTACAATCGTCAACAAAATAACAAAAACAGAAACAACTAACAAAACATTTTGGGCTTGACATCTTTTGTTGCTAGTTTACAACACCGGAAGAAGCTCAGGCTAGTCTGTGTCAGTAGAGTAGCAGCTTAAAACCCTCCAGTGTTATCATAGCATTTAGATGAAGCGAAATAAACAATACAGTCAGTGTTCTAGTGATTTCAATTATTTGCATTTTTTCAATCAATAACAATCGATATTCGGTAATTCGTAAAGACAGGAATTATTGATTGTTAGCAATTTTTGTCATTTATGGATAGCAATCGATAAAAAATTTTTCTATGTGTTTGATTGTTATCAATTGCAGATATCAATCAATAACAATCGGCGATTGATATCGATTGATTTCAAATATCGATTTTTATTGATTCACTATGCCTGGAGTGTTTGTATGGGAATCCAATGGCAAATAACTTTTTTAAAAATTGAATTTTACTCAATTTGTGAATTGCAACGTTAAAATACTAGGTAGAAGATTATATTCACCAAGTTTGAAGGATGTAGCTTTGCTAGAAGAAGCTCAGTTAAGTTTTCTAATTTTCCATTTATTGGTCTGTACATTTGGCTGGGTAGACGCAGTTCGCAGGAAAAAAATTATAGACAAATGTATGGGAAATTAAAAATTAATTGAGCGTCTTTTAGCCCAGCTACGTCCTTCAAATTTGGTGAATACAATAAGCTACCTAGTATGGTAAAGTTGCGATTTATAAGTTATGCAAAATCAATATTTCAACAAAAGTTATTTGCCATCTGATTCCCATATAAACACCGTAATTTCTGACCGCTTTGCTTACCCAGCAAGATGGCATTGTTGCAAGTGCAACAACTTCAACTGGGGCCATCTGAAGCCATTGTAGAGTTTTCAGGAGTTCTCAACCAATCACAGCACAAGTTTGAAAGCAAAGTGTGTTGAGATCTGATCTGGCCATTCCTATTGGAGAATCGTCAGTGTAAGCCATTGGAACAGATCATATTGATTGACAGCTACGTGTAACTACAAACAAATTTTGTCACCTTGAACAGTTGACATATACTGTTACAAGCCCTCAGTTTATGATGGTTGTTTTAGAATAGTAATTTTGTATACTTGTATATGGGCCTATTAGCAGGGCCAAGGAGGGTTTATAAATGGGGGGGGAGTATACATGTAAATCAGCTTTCAGGTATACACTCTTATAGGTATATGTTTCATACTGTACCCCTTATCCCAGCATAGTTCTTACATTTTGTCTTTTTCATAGGGTTTTCGTGGTCGTTCTAAGAACTGCTACAGTATAGCAATAAGAAGAGTCCAGAAAGCTCTGCAGTATCAGTACATCAGCAGAAGGCTGAAGAAAAGAGAAATGCGTACAGTGAGTATATTCACTGCTTTGGTATGCCTTTTCGTACCCGTGACTGTTGTCACTTATGTTACACTCTTTCTTTTTTTTTTAGCTGTGGATCACCAGAATAAATATTGCTACCAGAGAACACAATATCAACTACTCAACCTTCATGCATAAAATGGTTCAGGTATGATCTTGTATTTCTTGCTTCTACTTATAGGAACTATCCATTTACAAAGAGGAGTCAGGGAACTGATTTCTAATCAGCATGTGGTTAAAACACTTTGTAAGCTTTCCTTTTGTGGTGACTGATAAAGATACAACAGTACTTACTGGGGTGCTGGCATTTAGACACAGCTGATTTCGCTGCATGTATATGCACCATAAACCTCTGAAAGTAACAACCCCTTGAAAGTAGCGACCCTCCGAAAGTAACATCAAAAAATTGTGGCCATTAATGAATCCCAAAAGTAGCAACCCCCTGAAAGTAGTAAGCCCCCCGAAAGTAGGAAGTCCACCCCCAACCATTCCCCCTCCCCAAAAATAGTGAGACCCAGTTTCAATAGTATTTTTATTTTTCCAATCAATAGTCGGGTGAAAGTTATGTATAGTAAGTTCATTTAATGCACTCTTCAAGAAGGGAAGTTGTCGCTTATGTCACAAAGCGTTGCGTTGTAAAATGTCAGTTCGTGCTTCATCAGTTAATGCTGCACCTGGTTTAAGGGGCAGTCTAACCAAGATTTAGTGTTACTTAAAAGTCCAATGAAGGTGTTGGTATTAATTGGAAATCCACTAGTAGTTGCCTAACTTTGCTAAAATGCACGGTACTAGTCACAAAAGTTGTTTATAACTGTTATGGCAACGGATGAGTAGGAAAGAAGTGGTCTAAACCTTGAAAATATCGGGCCGATGTTTTCAAGTTTGACAATGTTACTTGGAGGAAAATCACTAAAACTCATTGATCTCTTAGCGATTGAGTTTTTGCCTTTTTTTCTTTTTTGTTGTTTTAAGGTATCAGTGGGTGCACCTTTATAATTTTAGAATAGTTTGCACAAAAACCTTAGAAGACCTCTCGTGATACTGCCCCTTTAAAACAAAACTTGTAGAATTTTCATCAAGTATTGGTCCTGAAAAGCCCCAGTGGGGAGTGGCTGATTAAGTACTTTTTTAAAAATGTAATATAGAAAACTTTGCTTCAAAGTACTTTCATTTTCATCAGGAGCATATTAAAAGGAATGTTTCTTGAAATGTAAATTGAAAACTCGACCAGAGCTCTGAGATGTTGTCACAGCAGACTAATGTAGCAGTGCATCATGAAGTACAAACAATTTATGGTATCTATCTAGCTTTCCTGCCAACCATTGACAACACAGTTTAGACATGAAGAGTTCACCCATGTGGCAGTAATATAGATTTAGATGGGCTAGCTTCAGTCTTCAAATAGACAGCTTGGATTTATAGTTAAAACAAATTTATTTCTCTTACCTCAACAGTGTAACATCCAATTAAACAGAAAAATGATGTCTGAACTGGCCATACATGAACCTAGATCATTCAAGGTTTGTCTGCAATTATGTACAGAGAGGAAGGAATTAAGGAAGGGAGCAAGGAACGAGGGGAGGGGGGGAGACAGGGGCAAGTAGGGATACAGGCAAAAGAAAGAGTGGGAGGGTGCAAGAAAGCAGGTGGGAATGCATGGAGAGAGCAAGGAAGGGAGACAGAAAGGCAGGGAGAGCAGGTAGAAGGGAGACAGATCCATGTAGGTAGACAGGCATGAATGAGATGGTTGGGGAGAAAGGTGGGAAGCAAAGGAAGGAGAACAAGCAAAGAGAGACAAAAGAAAGGAGGTGAACAGATGGGAGGGATGAAGAGGGATGCAGGCAGTCACAGGAAGAGAGGAAGATTGGAAAATGTTCAGTCTTCACATCCACACAAAATGCCCCATGTCAGTGCTCTTATTGACTATTTTTGTAAATAATTTGTATCTTGCAGGCCCTGGCAGAACTTGGAAAACGTCGCTTAAAAGATGGCTTATTGGCAGCTCTTTAGTAATACATTGATACTCCTTGGAATCAAAAGATCATATAAACAGTGCTTTGCTTATTACTGTAGTGAGGAAGGTCACATCATGAATACTGATGTTCTAGTATTGATCTTAGTCATGTTAAACAAAATATTGTTACATTTTTGTACTTATTATTTTCTCTTGGGCAGTTTGTTCTGAACTGGCCATTAATTCCTTTATGACATGGAACAGGTTATGTTTGACATGTATACTGGACGTACTTGGTGCTGTCTTGTGTGGTTATTTTAGTGTCATATTCATCATGTACATCACAGAATGATGCAGCCTAACACCAACACGTAATGCCTACAACTCATGGAAATAACTTTCTACGCAAATGTCACATTATTTTTCAATAACCTGTTACCATGTCCATGCAATATGATGAATTCCTTTTGTGTGTCATCTTATATACTTATTTTTAATTATGTAGATACCTGGCCTATATATTTGTCAAGATTTAAAATTTGCAAAATGCTGTATGACCAGTTAATTTGGCAGGCAAATGTTTCTTCCCATTGACAATTTGCTGTGTACTAGAAGAATTAACCTGCTCAGTCTTGCAAATATCATCTTATTTTAGCCTTATTGTTGACTGAGAATCAGGCAATATTCTGTATGATTTTGCATTGAAATCTTTAATATTTGTACTCAACTAATTAGTTTTGTATGTTTCACTGTGCCACCTTTTGTATCAAGATTTTAAAGCCAAATTTCATTCAGAACCACAGGTTAAGAGCTCATTGAGGTCATGCATTTCTTTTAAGTCCAAGGTTTTTCTCTGATCAGGTACTGGTTTTTCGATTAGGTCGTAGGCTCAAATTATGGCGCAAATTAACCCCTGGCTCATTGTTGACTTTCTGACATAATTTATTCCTTGCACAATCATCTCTTGGAAAGTCCCTGATTATATTACACATGTATTTACTACAATCTTGGGTACACTTATTGGGTATGGTTTGTTGAAACTTAACTGGAAAAAATAGTGAAACCACATGCTGAACAATTACATGCTCACACTTGATGATTTTTAGTTTCTGATTCAAGAAAAACAAATCCTCATTTTCCTTTATGGTTAATTGTAGCAATCAGGAGCTCTGCTTTTAGTCTTGGCTAAATCTGCATACCAGCAGAGCTGTGGTGGCCCAAAGGGCTGCCAAGCAGAGCCCCATACTCATATAGGAAAGAAAAGGAAACCATGAATAGATTTTCTCATAGTTATCATGGCTTGCTCACAGACAGGTACACATAGCACTGGCATACAGCTAATAAAATGATTGTTAGCTATTGTTGTACCGACACTACTTCCTTGTGCCATACACAGCTGCTTGCATCAGCACTGAGAACTGTGGAAGGCATGCTAAAGCTGTGTTCAGAACAAGTTATCAGATTTGGTATTGCCTTAGCAACAGCATGTTGATGTCTTGGGGACACCATTTTGAAAATACTGTAATTAAATTAGCCATGATAACAGAAGTCCAGCAACAGGACAGGCAGACGTAGGTTTACACAAGCAAGTTAGTTTGCACCCCTTTCACTTGTATACAAGTTAACAATAGGTAACAACCCTTTTACCTGTACGTATATATACTTAGTAGAAAAATGACCAATTCCCTATGTGAGACGTACAAGCAGAGGATCATGGTAGTTGTATTCATGAAAATAAAAAACCTCCAGTCCAAGATGATGAGTACAACTACCATGATTCCTTGCAGGCTTGTCTCATAGAGGGAATTGGCCATTACAAGAAATAAATGACTAGCTTTAAAATTCTAATATGGTAATACCCTCTGACCAAAATCTCACATGTAATGAAACCTGACTAGACTGATGGACAATCGTATTTATGCAGTGGAGAATGACAACATGCACATTAATTAACTGATGTTTTTTTAGGAAAAACTTGCAGTTATTTTAAAATTAAATTTTTGTTACTTAACAGTATAAATGTCATGAGTGAAAACAGACCACAGAAGTGACAAAAAATTGTTTATTTGTAAAGATCATGATGAAGCCAAGCCAAAAGATTAAAAGGATATATGTTCTGATTTGTTTAGAATCTGATTGTAAGATTTCACACATTGCTAAATATGTTACATATTTGTTCAAGATAAAATAATACAAGCAAATTTAATGCTGCAAATTTTCACACACCATCTATACATTGTACATTTCAATGATATCTTTAGCTGGGCAGTCATTTTGTGCATTGCTTTAATTGATGATTTGCATCAAACAAGTTAGTAACCTTCACATAATCAAGTCATTTCAATCATTGCTTTACTGGTATTAACAGTATAAAACAATGACATTTGTAGAATAAATAACAAAAGTCTTGGTTTACAGTAGCAGTAAGAAAGACTTCAGTCATCTGAAAGTACACATTCCTATTCTATACTGTATTCCATATTGGCTCATTTCAGATCTGTTTACTACAGCTGCTAGATGCATAATCAAATATCTCATGTTGAACATTTTAAAGCAACAAAGCAAACATTTAAAAGAAGGATGTAGTTGACGATCAGTGGTTGCAGGCACTATTAACTAGTCTGAGGAAGACTATACTTCAATCTTATGAGGACAGTATCATTACTGCAGCCACTATATTCAGGTGTCTCCTAAAATGTCCGAGAGAAAAGCCAAGCTACACACATTAAAAACTCTCAACTATATACAAACTGAAGTTGATTCTAAGATCACTGCTTTAAGAATTGATTTGCTCATAATAATTTAAGAATTTTCAAGAAGAACGAAAAAGTTACTTTTGATGACTAGAAGTTAACTAGTCATCAAATGAAATTTTAGTTCCCTTGTACTCTTGGATATTTCCTTTGCGTGCTGCACTTGCTGGGGTCCCTCCTCTGCCACCACCACGCCCTGAACAAAATATAACAGAGACTATTAGAATCAACAGTGTTAAAAGTGATTAGAACAAAACACAAGTGGAAGAAACTTTTGTTGTCACTAGGTAGTCACTCATGGTCAATAGGCTTTACAGCATTATTTGATACACACTTCATCATAAACACTTACAACCATAGCCTGTAAACAGTTTAAGATGTACAAGGAGCTCCAGCTTAAAAGGGCCCTTACCAGCCATACCTTTGTTTTGGTGTACACACAAAAGTTTGGCTATTATATTTTATTCAGATCATGTTGAAATGAGGGAAATCACTGTGAAACTACTTAAGATAATTAAACATGCTTTCAGGATTACAATGTACAGTAAAGCAATAAGATTTCACTTCACCATGCATTATCAATAATTTTGATGGCATAGAGAATAGCGAAGGCTGACTTGGGTCCTTTAATTCCGGAAAATGAAAAAATACCTCACAGTCTTGCAGTGTTCAGATGGTATAGCTGGTACTACTCATTGAACCATAACATTACACAAGTAATAATAATGTCAGACATGCAAAGTACAAGCAGATGTTACAGGCTACAAATGAACTTACCTTGTCTTCCGCCTCTTCCACCAAAGCCTCCTCTGCCACCAAAGCCACCTCTACCACCTCCCCTACCACCAAAACCACCTCTACCTCCTCCCCTGCCACCTCCTCTACCACCACCTCTACCACCTCCACTGCCAGGTGTGGAATTCCGTGGCTCAGCAAAATCGAGTCTTAGAAAACGACCATCTAGCTCCTTTCCATCCATTGAAGCCATTGCAGACTGTGCATCCTCCACACTATCAAATTCAACATATCCAAAACTGAAAAAAAAAAAAAAAGAAAAAACCAGCAATTATAATTCCAGAATGCTAAAGAAAAAAGAAAACACAATAAGTGCATGTAAATTAAGCATACACTGAAATACATTGTGGTCTTTGAAGGACAAAATAGCACAAACTTGCAGTTAGTGACTGAGCTCTGTAAGTTTTTAACTAAAGATGAAAGTTGAAAAAGAGTACTCATGAGAATCAACTGACTCCATGCATAGTAATAGTAGTAAATAGTAATATTAGTATCTGAAAAATGATGTGAAGTTTCATTTCCAGTTGGATCAGAAACTGTGGGGGTTAGGACCTGGGACTAGGCAGGTTGTGATGTCAAAACAAGAATGACAGTCTACATATCTCTTGAAATTGTTTACAATTTGGACCTAAACTTGGAATTACATTTGATTGCTTAATTCCTAGTGTATTTCACTATTTGTTTGGTTTTGATAATAAATTCACGTACATTCTTGTTTTGATGTCACAGCCTGACTAGTCCCAAGTCCTAACCCCCACAGTTTCGGACCCAACTGGAATGAAATTTCCTATTTTCAGATGGCTAAAACGCAGTGAAAAAACTAAAATTCATTTTTTTCTATTTTTATAGCATAGCAATTTCTCAGGCAATTCTGTCCAAGGGGATAGGTGCAATGAGGTTAACCCTATGTCAAGCACCAACCCGTGAGATAAGGCCAGACCACAACACCAGTAACTACGTGCCCTACTCTTTTTGATAAGTGTGTGGGTTCTTTAACGTCCCCTGCTAACCATGTAACACTGAAGATGCAGGAGACAGGGCCTATGATTTATAGTCCTTACCCGAGAAGACTTGAACGTCTAACCATTTGCAGATATAATAACAAAGGCAGCAAATTCTCCTCAGTTATTTTAAGACCCTGAGTGTCTTAAAATATTAAGATGTGAAATTATATAACAACCTCTTAAAGATTCCATCAAGCAAATAAAAAAATATCTGTCATGTACACTTAAACACAAGGCATGTAAATTCAAGACCAAAATATGTGACATAGGATTGAGAAAGAACAGATCATGATATCTAAAACAATTCCCCATAGTGTGCCAAGAAAGTTGTGTCTGATAGCCCAGGGCAACTGGATTTTCCTGTCGGGCTAGTGAATTGTGTCCATCACTTGGCCAATGGGCAAGTGAAGTTTTCGGGAAAATTTTAGAAGAAATTTATACTACAGAAGTACTGTCAGAGATTAACCTTTTAAGGACTAGTGAGAATGATATTCAGGCTAGTACATCATAGAGTTTGCCCAAAGGGAAAGTCTGAAAACTTGTTTCCTTTGCACCTGTCCCGAGATGTTGGAAAAACACAAGAAATAATGAAAATAAGAGATATTCCCCATAATAAATCTGCAATCCAGAGAATAATAATTTGCTTCGCAGTTTAAACATCCACCAACCGTGCACTTAACACTGGTAAGTCTGTCACAAAGAACAACAATGGAACAGCATGTCCTGTATTGTTACTTACCCCCTTGGGTTGCCCGTGTCTCTGTCTGTTATGACTCGTGCACCAGTGCAGTTTGGAAAAGCTTCACTCAGTAAGTCATTATCAGTGTTGTATGATAAGCCGATGCAGATCAAGGTGTTTGATGGAGTACTTTTACCACGACCCCTGCCAGATCCACCTCCACGTGGTGATTTCCCCTGCCCTCTATTACTTGGGGAGGGTCTTGCCTCTGCCATGTTTATTCGCAGTGTCCTGCCATCAAGTTCTGAGCCATCAAGTTCAAGTCCCTGCTGAACTTCCACTGGACTGCCAAAGTCTACATAGCCAAACCTTTAGGTTACAGAACATAAAATGTATTATTATATCACATCATCACTTCTCAGACAGGATCATTAGGAGGAAATGATTAGTCAGGATACATGGAAGCCAGTGACAAGGCAATATTGGAGAAAGCTTGAAAACTGCGAGGGCTAATGAAAAGTTAAAGAAAACTACAATATTATTAAACTTTAAGCATGCACATTTGGTATTGAAAAGTCTTAGGCTGTGGTCACAGAGAGATGTGTTCAGACACTGGGTACTTCACGTACCCTAGGACCATTTAGTGCCTGAGTACAAGGTTGAGACCTTGTGCCTGGGCTCTGAATTCTGGCATGAGAAAAAGGTGTGTTCACATTAGTGCCCAGCGGGAATCATGCTGCGGCACTGTGCTTGGGCACTGAGTGTGAACATAAGTTCCTTACTTTCATGTATCTCATGCCATGGGTAATAAATATAGTCAGCACGTCCAGCACTACTAGACAAAGTGATTTCTGTTAGTCTACTGCTCACCGCATTTTTTTCATTTATAAGGCAATGGATTTTTTCCAAAAAAAGACAGTACGCCTGTTCGATCGAAATCTGATCCAAACTCAAGGTACGTCTTTTAACCATGTATGTTTGTGCCAAAAAAAGCAATTTTGCAAAATTTCACTGATGATTAAACCTGTCAAACATCATTGCATAATCAGAGATTTTTTCCACATAACACAGAAAAATTGTTCCATAGTAGTAATAAATCAGCTGCTTTCCAACCTCAAAAATTCTGAAGAGATGATCAATTACTTTGAAGTAGTTTTTGGCCTATTAAATCAGTGATGAAAACACACACGTTTGTTCTGCGACAAATTTTTAACCTCCACGCCTTCCATCCATCTTTTGGTGAATATCCTGGAAACTAGTTTTTCATAGTCTAATGTAATGCCTGGTTAGTAAGTTATGGATGTTTCAAGAATGCAACAACTAATTCTGCACTCAAAATTATATGATAAACCTGTGTTAAATGAAGAAATACCTGTCAACAAAATACTAGAAATAGATCAAACATCTGTCAAAGTTAGTGGGCATGACATTTAATAAGTTTATTCTATTAAAGAGCTTAAAATGTGGGTAAGACTTTGAAATGCTTTAGGAGAAATATTCAGTTTGTAAACTTGATACACTTACACATGTATGCCTAAAAGTTTATGGTGTGTCTTATAACCGAAAAAATATGGTATATTTGGATTTTTGATGTCAAACCTAGAATGTATTTTTTTCCCAGGTGGCTGATTAGGATTTCAAAAGCAAAACCGTTTTTTACAGTACATACCCTCTTGATTCTCCATTCTTTGTTATTAGTCTAACACTTGTCGGAGTTAAACCATTTTCCTCAAACAAACCCTGAATGCTCTCTTCAGTGGTTCCATATGACAAGTTTCCGACATAAAGAGAAACTGAAAAACAATTATTATAGTACATTAATAAACTTTTCATGGATGGAGTAAGATCAACATGTCAAACCTTCTCTGAGGCAGGTAGAATAACATTCTTTAACATAAACCACTGACTTCAGGACTGATGGGTAAACATGCCATCTGATTGGCTACACAGACGGTGCAGGAGCTCTTTGACCTTTGAAAATCACTTCAACATCACATTCTTGTGAGTTACCCAATTAGAATTAGAATGGAGTAATCGTAGGTTAGGGAGTGAGTTCAATAGGTTGTGTGGCTGCAGTCTGATGGAGAATGTTATAATTGCTAAATGTGCCTCGATGTGCATGAGGCATTGGCTTCCAGAGAGTTAATTATAAGTTATAATGATCTTTGGGATATGACCTAATTATTTGTTTGGCTTGCAGAATCCATAAATTTGTCTCATGACCCTAATTATTGCTATTTGCTGTCGCCAAGCTACATAACTTGGTGGGGTGTAAGAAATATTATCCTGTTTGAACAAGCCATGGTTGTTTTCTGTGGCTTGGAGGTTTTGTTTTATTAATCATGATTCAACAGTCGTTTATTGTCAAATGTGACGAGTTCACAACCAAGGAATCACACACAAATAAATGTTAGCTTTAAGACACTTGAATAATGCTATGGCTGATTTGAGAAAAAGAATTCCTGAACTGCTGCCAATGACCACATCAAAGCCACAACTGGAATTGTGAAGGAAGCCTCCATGCTACATCATGCACATGCATTGAGGATGTCATTCACCGCTGAAAAAATCATTGGGGGAGGCGTAAATCTGAACCACTTACAAGCAACAAATCTCAAATTTTCTTGTTCAAATGAGTCATAGGGAGTCATTCAAAATTAGCATGCATTCTCGTTACTCTCGGATGCAATAAAAATAATGTGGTTAATAATTATTTAACCACCATGAAAACACATGTAGCTGCAAGCAGGGTAACATTTCAGGCCTGAAGCACAAGTAGTGAAGACACAAGAATGAGCACTGGGAAAATATTTCCTGCCAAGATCTTTCTATGATTTCAAAATTAGTAACTGGTAAAAGAAAGAAACTTGAGCTACTGGGAGTATCAAGATAAACTTTATGTGTATAAGCTCCACAAATGGGAATTTGAGCTGCTAATCTCGAGCCAATAGTTGCAAAATAATTATTAAATACACTTCCTATTGCTTTGGTATCAGTAATCTCTTGATTGTCTTCCACAATCCTTTTGGGGTTGAAGATTTCTTTGGGCGTAAGAGTAACAAGTTGCCTTATACCTTTCCAAACATTTGTGACATTGCTCTGATTCGCTAAAAACATAATTGTGGTAGTAAAGCTTTTTGCTAAGTCGTAGTAAACCTGTAAGTTTGTTTCTATAGATTTTATATTTGTAGTGACTAGCAGTAGATTTAGTTCTAATGAAGTGTCTACATTAAGTATTCTTATAATTCATAGACTTTGTAAGTACCTTAGTTATCCAAGGTTAAGAGTTGAATTTAACCTCGCTACGGGAGAGTGTTTTTAATGGAAAGTGTTTATTTACAATTTCAGAGCACTTAGAAAAGAAAACCTCAAATAGCTGATTGACATTCTGAGATTCACCAAATACATCTAGCCACTGGATTGATGCAAAGTCATTCAGAACAAGTTCTTCATTATGTTGGAAAAATCTTGTTTGTAGATTTTATCTTTTGAGTCAGGCAACATAGTAATTTCATTTATAATTAAATAGTTGGGTAAATGGTCACTAAGTTAATTAAATTATATTACCACTAATACTATGAAAACCAAGGGAATTAAAGAAAATATTGTCAATTAACAGTAAATTCAATCTACATTTCTCTGGTCCTTCTATCTGGAACAATTTGGATGAAGAGATAAAACGTTTGTCTCTGCGTTTATTTAAACAAACCTTGACTAAGCAATTTCTAAGTTCTTATGCTTAATGCTAGCTTAGTATTTTTTTCTTTAAGTTACTATCGCTCTTAATTAAACAATGCTCTGTCTATAACTGGTACTGTTACTACTTATATGTCTTTTTATATTTATATCTAAAGAAAAATGTAAAAGGTTTCACACAATCGTAGAAGTGCTCGATGCAAATACATGCAGAGCGGAATACTATAATTAAAGATAGAGACCGTACAGACTGTCCGTACAGTCTCTATCTTTAATTATAGTATATTTATATCTATATATTTTTTCTCTCTCTACCTCTTCTTTTCTTTATTTTTCCTACAACCCATTTAAAGCATAATAATTCTTGTAACTACTCAGCTCGTTTAGTTTTTACTATTTTGAGTAGTTTTTTTGCTTATTTAAGTTTAATGTATTCTTTTGCTGTATAGTATTCTCTGTATTATGCAAAATAAAATGGTTGTTGTTGTTGTCGTTGTTAGATCTCAATACATTTATTAAATTTTAACCACAGAGGGATTTCACAGCAGCAAAGTGTAATAATTGTCCATGGTACTGTTTAGTAAATGTACACACAAACTCTTTTCAGAACCTACCATTTTCGTTGGGATTGTCATCTTGCTTCAACTTCTTGCCTCCATAATCCTCACTCTCTGTATTTGCCTTTCTCTTTGCAGCCTTCTGACCTTTCCCCTCTTCATTTCCAGCATCTCCATTTGCACTTTCTTGCGAATACTCCTAAAATACAGAAAGTAACCACTAAAACTGTTTCTTCTTTTTTAAGGGCAGACAGAAGCATAGGGATTCTTTTCCAATTCTATTTTCTAAGTGAACATACGAAAGATCATATATTTGAACTGCGGAGAAAGACAAGAAGCTATGATTGATCATGGCAGTTATACACAAGACTAAGGCAGCTGTGAAATTAAAGCCTGAAAAAATAAATTATCATGCTTTAATTTCATAGCTGCTCACGTTGTGCATATAACTGCGATGATCAATCATGTTTAGTACTAACAGTTTTAACCAGTCATTTTGCCATTTAATTTGATTTTTAAGGTCAACAACAGCAGAATGTTGCACTTTTTTCTTTTGCCTCAAAATGTGGTATATTGTATAAGAACCTGCCACATGTTATGTCCAACAAGCTGTTTTCTTATAATGCTGTCTGTCTGTCATGTGTGTATGTGGATTCAGATACTGAATTTTACCTTTTAACATAAACCACTGACTTCAGGACTGATGGGTAAACATGCCATCTGATTGGCTACACAGACGGTGCAGGAGCTCGTTGACCTTTTGTAAGTGTGTTCATTTTCTTGATTATTTGTGCAATTTAATAAATTTATTTTAAATATTTCTGTAACAATAAAAAAACTGATTGAAACTACAGCAAGTCCAAGTATACATACTTTATTTTTCTTGGATTTCTTAGCTGTTGTGATTGCCTCCTCATCTGATGAACTGTTCTTCCGTTTCTTGCTTCCTTTAACAAGCTTCTTATTGGCCTTTACCTCTTCATCATCTGAACTTGATTCTTCACTACTGGAATCCTTTGCTGTTCCATTTTCCCCATTTAACTTGGGTGATTCTTCTTCATCTTCACTGCTAGAATCTGACCCAGAATCAGGCTCATCATTTGTTTCTTTTGCTTTTCCTTTTGAGGGTTGTTCATCTTCTTCATCAGAAGAATCTGAGCTAGAGTCAGAAGATGCTTCTTTAGTTTTAACTTCTTTTGTTTTACTTGTTTCCGTTTTCTTTGTTGTTTTTGGTTTTTCTTCTTCTTCGTCAGAAGAATCCGAGCTAGAGTCAGAAGACGCTTCTTTAGATTTAACTTCTTTTGCTTTCCTTGTTTCCGATTTCTTTGTTGTTTTTGGTTTTTCTTCTTCTTCATCAGAAGAATCTGAGCTAGAGTCAGAAGACGCTTCTTTAGTTTTAACTTCTTTTGTTTTACTTGTTTCCAATTTCTTTGTTGTTTTTGGTTTTTCTTCTTCTTCATCAGAAGAATCTGAGCTAGAGTCAGTGGATGCTTCTTTAGTTTTAACTTCTTTTGTTTTACTTGTTTCCGTTTTGTTTGTTGTTTTTGGTTTTTCTTCTTCTTCATCTGAGGAATCTGAGCTAGAGTCAGAGGCTGCTTCTTTAGTTTTAACTTCTTTTGTCTTACTCTTTTCCATTTTCTTTGTTTTTGGTTTTTCTTCTTCTTCATCTGAAGAATCTGAGCTAGAGTCAGAAGCTGCTTCTTTAGTTTTAACTTCTTTTGTTTTACTTGTTTCCATTTTCTTTGTTTTTGGTTTTCCTTCTTCATCTGAAGAATCTGAGCTAGAGTCAGAAGCTGCTTCTTTTTTTTTAACTTCTTTTTTTTTACTTGTTTCCATTTTCTTTGCTGTTTTTAGTTGTTTTTCTTCTTCATCAGAAGTATCTGAACTGGATTCAGAAGTTGCTTCTTTAGCTTTTCCTGCTTCTTTCTGTTTACTTGTTTTCACTGGCACTGTTGTTTTTGGTTTTTTGTCTTCTCCATCGGAAGAGTCTGAGCTAGATTCAGAAGATCCTTCTTTGGACTGAGTTTTTGTTGCAGGGGATTTAGAGGGTGCTGACTTTTGAGGCTTCTTCTCTTTTTCATCAGAGCTTGATTCAGAGGAAGATGCCTCAGCTTTCACTGTCCCAGTTGGTTTGGCTTTTGATTTTTGTTGCTTCCCTTTTTTCTCATCATCACTTGAAGAGGACTCTTCTTCACTTGAGGAATCATCCTGTTTGTTTTTCAGTCCCTTGAGTTCAAGCACATCTGCCTTTAGTGTCTTGACAGGTTTTTCCTCTTCTTCATCAGAGTCAGACTCACTTGATGAAGAGCTTGACTGTTTTTTAGGTTTCTTTGGACCTGGTTTGGATTTTTTTGGAGCAAGTGCAGGCTTGACCTTAGATTTTCCATTCTGTTTTATTTTTTCCTTCTTAGTTTTCTTCTCGGCAACTTGTTTTCTGGAGATAACAAAATAACATTTAATTCATCCAGCCACCAAATAACAAAAATCTTGTGATTGCGCAGAAATCCTAATATGACCATTTCACTCAAGTTTTGAGCCCCACACAAGAGCAGGGAACCTTTGAGAACAAGCCTAAGAGTATATAGCCTTCTTTGCAGACATTCTTATGGCTCACCACATCCCCCTACCCTTTGAACCTCCGCTGAAACAAACATTTCCTGTAAAATTTTACCCTTTCCTTAAAGAAAGGAAGTACCGCAAGGCTTCAAAAAAGTGACCACTTGTCCAGGACAAGTGGATTTTCCTGTTGGCAAGTAACTTTTCTTTCTCACTTGCCTGATGAGCAAGGGCCCAGGCAAGTCATCTGCCAACTAAATAAAAAAAAGGTACACCAAGACTTAAACAAATTTCTTTGATTCTTCGTAGCTGACAGATAGTTTAGTACATCAGGTTAATTATACTTGTTTGCTCAAGGTAAAGGATGTCGACCAGGGGATAAAGGTTAGTAACTGTTCTCCTGTATTTCTAATTTCAGTAATGATGATTTTCCTGCCTGATAATGTATAAGCTTTTCTGAATCATACAGTATTTAATGACCTTATCTGTCAATATCTGTCTGGTTGTTTTTGATACTAACAGTGGAGTCATATTTCAGCGTGTTTCTTTTGTCTGGTAGAGGCTATTCTCTCAACATTGACATTGTGTTAACTTTCCTGAATTTTGCAAAGTTATGATATCTGGAATTCTCAGTGGGTTTTTGTCTTGACATTTTGATATCTAGTGGAGAGATATTTGCTGAGAAATCTCCAACATTCTCAGTGAGATTTTGGCCTTGGAATTTGGATATCTCACCAAGATCTCACTGAGATATCAAAATCTCGCCAACAGATCTTGGTCAAAATTTTGCATGGGTTTGTAAGGAAAAAACATCTTTTCCAGAAAGTTACAAAATATGGATAGCTATTCTTCTTAAAAGTAGTTGCTCAGTACCTTGAAATGGTTTTATCATCAGCTGAACTGGAATCCTGTGAAAATAACATAACAACTGATGAGACAGAACTAACAGCCCCCAAACTGGCCAGACCAAGAGCATGTCCCATGAGGTGAACAAATTAACCCCCTCCCAATAAGTATCTATTGTTCTCTACATTCTTCTGCATTTGAAGTCCTTCAAGACATGCTAAGCAAGTGCCAAGAAAAACAGACAGTATTTAGACACACTGACAGGCCAAGACCACCTCAGCGATGTCCTGACAAGACATCATATCAAGACAAATCTCATGAGGTTTACAACATGGATATGCCACATGTACAAATGTTCCATTGGTTACTTATAAGTTTGAACACAGCTCATCTGGAAAACGTGATTCAGGCATGTATTTATAATAGTAATAGTTCATAGTAATTATTATTAGTACTTCTCTGAATCACAGCGGGTATGAACAGTTCTAAATATATTGCAAAAGGCCATATTATTTTCACTGCTTCAGTACAATGAGGAGCACTAAAAGCGATGACTTTTAAGTTCCTCATTTCTGTGAGATGATTTCATTTTCTCAAGGTGCAAAATCATGAAATTGCATTTGTGTCTGCCATTTTCACTTTGAAAAACTGGCAAACAATTATGAAGCCACTTCTGCCTGGAGGCTCACAAATTCTCAAGTGCCTTTCCAATTTCAAGGGTGCTGTTCAGAAATGAACAATACATGCAATTCTCAATTTTTTTAAATACATGTAAAGGCTGTGTCCTAAAGTAAACTATTAGCCTGCATGTCTAAATTGAAGAGTGCCAGACCCCAAGAATGTCCTCATGCGTCCCAAGTCATGGTAATGGTACTACTAAAATAGGTACCCTAGTTTCCTCATGGATATTCTTGACAGTTACCCTTGCGGTCTTTAAATTGTGCTACAAGGTCTAAACTTGGCACCACATTGGTTTAAGCACATATCACATTCTCCACCCACCGCAGCAAGCGATGGCACTCCCATGCAATTCTAGATGTGGAAAAAGTGTAGAATGAAGCCTTCCAGCTTGCAGTATTGATTTTATTGCAGAAAGAGGGATTCAGCGTCAGGTACAGCATTTTGCGATACTATCAGTTGTTGATCAGTGCCAATTTGCTGGGCTGTTCATTTAAAAATTGGAGTGATACAGTGAATCTGACAAGAGAAGCAATGTTCTCACATACAGGTGCCTTTGTATTTGACAACTACCACAGCCGATCGATGCTCGAAAAAGGTCTCCCTGTTTCAGTGTACATAACAATTAGCCTTACATTTGAAAGACCCATTTACTCGTAACTCATAGACTCATGTGACCCATATAAACTTAGGTCTCAAACCATCAATCAATCTTCTCTTTTTCAATTTCCGAAATGAGACCTGAAATATTCTTGATGCATGCTCATTTCCCTGGGTTATTGCACAATAATTTTCGACACGTGGTTTAGACAAAAAACGTGTTTTACAGATTTCAGCGACACAAAGTTCCCTGCTCCTTACTCATACTTTGCTGAAAGTTCGAGAAGTTAAGTTTCAAAAGATATTTCAACTTACTTCATCCATGGCATTATCCTATAAACTCAAAGTAAAGGATCAACACTTCATTCCAAAGTTCTTTACTCGAACGTATCGTAAACAGAGGATTGCACTTTTTAAGGCTTATCTATCGAACCCTCGTTGAAAAATAGATACGAATGAAAAAATAACTTTCTTACCTTTTTTGAAGTGACATGCTTCGCCATTTTTTGACCGAATAAATCCAAATTCCAGATGAAATTAACCCTCACTCTTTAACTCCACGTGCGAACACAAACGCGAGTCTAACGAGAAAGGAAGGTTACTGCGTACGAGCCGGCGAAGAGTGGGAACCACCAATCCCATGAGCCACTTCGACATTGGAGTAATCAAACATGGCGGAAGTTTGCAAAATATGAGTTGCCTTTCTCTACTAGGGGAAGATAGTTGTGATGGAAAATGGATGCAGTTATAACCATTGAAGCCGATCTAAATGCCATTATTAAGGAGGTATGTTGTATTAAAATAAAATCAATCCCTGCAAAATTTAAAATTAGCCTACTGCTGGTAACTTATCTGGGACATCTTTGCATCCTTGGTTACGCTCAGTCACAGGAAAAAAGTGAAATACCAATTTTGGAATAAGACAGGATTATCAGTGGTTTTCTATTGGGATATAATTGGTAGCTTAATTAGAATACTAACATTGGAGAAATGATATAAAAACCAATGTTGGTATTTTAAATAAACTTCCCAACATTGGAAAATGATAATTCTCATTGGAATACTGTTGGAGAATTTATTTTGTTTTGCCAGGGTTGGTTTATCAAAAATATTTTTCCAACTTTGGAATATATATATACAGTTGGGAAAACTATTGGAAAAGTTGATTTGAGTTACCAACCATGGTACATTGAAATAATATTCCAGTACTGGAAAATGTTCTTGTTTTACTGGCAAATTAGTGGAATTNCCAGCAACCCAGTTGAGAGAATTCTTAAGCCAACTGATCATGCTATACACAGACTGATGATCATCTCATACGTAATCATTTTATCATAAAATTCAAGCAATCTGAATATATTACTTCTGCTAGCTAGGGAAGAATATCTGTGATATGATATGTGATATGTCAGTTTTTCAATTTAAGATTAACCACAACATTCTGTACACAAATAGTAGACTCTTAAGAGATAAGATAACAGAGAACGACAAATGTTACCTTTACAGTGGCAGTCAAACACTGACCCATCTCTTTGTTGAATGTGATTTTAGTAAGGTATTTTGGATCAATTTTACTTCTTGGTGGAATTGTAAATATAACATGCAAATCAAACTCAAACAGCGTGATATTTTATTTGCTTTTCATTCCGAAAAACAGTGTTTTTTTAGGCATTAACTACTGTTTGCTTGTGGCCAGAAAAATTACATCGATATTTCTGCAAAAAATGAAGACCCCTTCTGTTTCACTTCCTATCTCAAATTTTTGAAGAACAAGCTCGGGACAGACAAAAAGAAGATTTGAGACCTTGTTACATGTACTCTTTAGAGCACTTTTTGTTTTGTTTGCTTCTTGTGAGTGTTTGTAAGACTGTAATTCGTAGATCTTTTCAGTTAGCTATTTTAACTAGTTATAATTTTTTTTTGTAAGTTGTTACATTTTAATTTTTTGTAATAATAATAATAATAATAATAATAAATGGGCATGGAGTAGGACAAGCTCACGCTTTAGCCTACTTACTATTTTGAGGAGGGTGCTATCAAGCTAAAAACTGGCTATCCCCTAGTGCCCCAGGACCATGCTTTGGTCTCGGCCCTAAGGACACTAAGCAAACATTACGTGAGGACGATGATAATAATAATAATACGTTGGAAGTGGGGTCGCCCCAACAGCCCAGTTGAGAGAATTCTAAGCCAACTGATCATCCTATACACAGACTGATGATCGTCTCATACGTAATCGTTTTATCATAAGAGTCAAGCAATCAGAATATATTGCTTCTGCTAGCTAGGGAAGGATATCTGTGATATGCTGGAAGTTTACCAAGATAAAATATGCTCTCTCAGTCAAGTTTGTGATCACATTTAATGATGACTGATGACACGTACACAACTGTCTTTCTAGAATCTCAGGGCAAATTGGGTTTGCTGAATGAGTACATGATCAACTTAGAAAACTGAGATGTTACAAATAAAAATTAATATGCAAAACAAAGCAGCTATGGAGTTTGGTTTAGTGTTGGGGTCAGCAGCTTCAATACTTTAAGACTGACTTTCATGTCATTTACTTACTACCTTAATGATCCATTGGTCAAATTAAATCTACTAAAGTAAGAATGAAGAAACATGTAACAAAGTTTTAATTTATTTATTTTATTTATTTTATTTACTCCATTTCCTCCCATCCTAGACTGAAACAACAAACCGATTTGAAAACACACACACACACAGAAATCACTGAGTGTATCTTGTTTGTGCAGTTACCCGGGTTAGATAGATAGATAGAAAGATGGATAGATAAATGAATGAATGAATGAATGATTGAATAAATGAATAAATAAATACAGCTCAGTGTTAATACACCATATTACATTTTGATTCTTTTTTATTAATGTGCAAGTATCTAGATTATCTTGGATATTCAAAGACACTATCTACATTTGAGGATGAGCTCAAATCTCTAGGGAAGCAATCAAATCAGATTATCACACCAAGGAATGACTCACAGAAAACAGAAATACAGGTAGTAATTAAATCCCAATGAAGATGTAATAGACTGGTTTTCAGTTGAGTGTCGTAAGACCAAAAGCAAACCAACCACTTGCCAATTAGACTACTCAGCCAATCTCAAACTGTAAAACCGGAACAAATTGAAAGTAATTGCCTGATTACTTTTGATACTCAATTGAAAACTGCTCTATAACTTGGGCAGTTTTAAGCACATTCATTTGGTAACCTCTGGATTTCATTAGATGAAAATGTTGCAAATTTCACGACATAACCGTCAATATTTCATTGATCAAAAGTGACGAGTAACTGGATAAACCCTAAATGTTTGAAAAGTAAAACTACGCTCTAAGTTCGTCACTCTTAATGGATGGATGCAAATGGTAGTAGCTCTACACAATTGTCTAAGTTTCATTATCTAGAAATGAGAACATCTTGACTATTTTTGCGACATGTCAATTTGAATACTCTTCAGCTACTATAAAACTATTACATCATTGTAAGTTAATGTTTCAATGGAAACTCTTGTTAGCAGACACACTCACGACACAACAAAAGGTGTCCTTAACTGGAGCTTGTGGCTTAGGAGAATGGTTCTCATGAGCTGCTACTAAAGGTGTAAGGCATAGCTGGGTGCTTGCTGGTCAGACCTCGCCCAACTAACAATGAACATTAGGAATGCAAAAAATACCTCTGCATTAACTGTTAATAATTTTGTTTTGTGTTATTGCCTCAATATGCAATGCTGCAATAATGGCTCTATACTGTATCAATTGGTCTCTTCCGTAATGATTAATGAACAAATCATAATTGCAATTAACATTGACATTAACAGTCTCGCTGCAGCTAAATGAAGTGACACAGTTTAGAAATGTTTATAAATGCATTCATTTGTAAAGTCATTCTGACAAACAGTGATGTTAAGTTATTTGATTTAAAAAAAATAAGATTCAGAGGATAACGGGATTTCCTTTTGGGTGTCCGCTGACAGGAGCTTAAAAGCAAAGGGAAAGTGTAGATCGTGAATCCTGAAAATGTTGGTGACTGCTTATGGAAATGTCCTCTTTAGTCTTACAGGAATGAGTGCAACGTTTGTATGGGAGTTCAAACAGGGTTTTGTGAAGACGGACATAAGTATAGCTGTCCACTTACAAGAGTTTCCATTAAGAGAGCTTCCACTGCATTTTTTTTCAATTTTTTATTATAGCCACACAAAGAACACTACTTACAATATGATACTTACATTAAATATCACTGTATTTGTTTATTATTTAGAAAAATCTTAACTACCTGTGTAATTTTTGTGAATTTTAGTTTTTATTCCCAGAGAAACTACACCTAATTACTTTGAATTGTTATTAAACATAACAAAACAACAACCATTGTAGCCTAACCTGACCATCTGAAATAATGATTCTCCTTTTTGTTAGAGACAGTTAACATTGGCCTTTGATGAGGGAATGTGCACAGAATTCTTCAGGATATGGAATGAATACATACCTGATGTTGTCCAAGATACTGATCATGTTTGCCAGAAACTGGTTTTCAACATAAATATTTATTTTTCCCTTTATCCTATTACACATGGTAACCAGGTATGACTTACATTCTTTCATAGTCAACATTTTCATAAGAACAACCCAGAAACAGTTTCCATTCACTGTTGAAAGGTCAGGCTAGAGATTGGCAAGATATAAGACTTACAGGGTTGTCATTGGGGTTGAGTACGCTTGATTCCCCCTTGATGCTACGGAAGAAATTCCCTGTTGTTCTTAGTATTGACCCACAAAGTAAAAGTTTGTCATGGACGTGGAGAATGAGAGTATAGGTGACTCAAAACTTAATGACAGCCCTGTACGACACACAGTGATTGGCTAATAATCGAAGACAGAGTTTCCCATAATGTCTGTGGGCATCATGAGTGATGTTAATGCCTGCCTGGCTAGCAAAAACAGGTAGTGAGTTGTTAACAGGTAAGGTACATGTAAAATCTGCATACAAGCCAAGTGCCTGAGGTGGCCCATCAGGTTGGCGCTCATCTCTGCTTTCTGTTGCATGTAGCGACTAAGAGTATTTCTACTCACTCCTGAATTGGATGCTAGTCCATCACAGGGCTACTCCTCAACATTAAATTCATCACTGGTAGCCATTTTATACACCTGGGTGGAGGGAGGAACACAGCACAACATCCCTGGCCTGGGCTCAAACCCGGACCACTTGACCTGGAGTCAAGCTCTCTAATAATGAGGCCACTGTGCCTCCAAAAGATATTACCAAGGGCTATATTGATCATAAAATTCCTTTTTTAAACTCTTACAAGAGAATATTCTAAGACTAATGGGAAAATACAGCCTTCAGTCTTTCTTGTATGGACCTTGGTACACTCAGTCAGTTCACTTACCTTGTCATGCCACATTGGTCTCCAGATTAACTTGTTAACAAGCTTAGTTTTTCATATTACAAGGTTCTCAGATTTGTGATAGTTGCATCAGATTTGAAATCTCAAAAAAATTGGCACCTGACCAGTGTTTTTATTCATTCTAGTCATAGTATGAAATTTGTGTAAACCTTCCAAGAAAGAGGCACTTTGATTGATAAGAAGGCGAATAATGGTTTTTATTTTGATATACTGTAGTCAATTTATAATGTAGATTACAATGATTTGACTGCTTACTGTTAGTCTTCATCTGGCAATAAGGTGGCCTGGTTTATAATGCATTGCCATTCATATCATCATGGTTGGCTATGATTGGTGCATTTAAATCCTCCATTGTTTCAGCTAGAAGTTGCTGCCTCTGTACACTGTAGTCTGCTGTTGTACAATTCTCCTGTTGTTCTTGTTGCTGTTGTGTGTGTTTTTATGGTGGGTATCCTCATTTCTGGAATTTCAATGCCACTATCCCTGGCTGTTGCTAAGAGTATGTTGTTTTACCTTCCTTGATCTTACTTGAGTGCCAGGCTAGTGAGAGTTTTGATGAATACATCTTTCAATGGTACCCAGATAACGTCAATAGGGGTAGTGGAATTCAAATTTCTGAAGCATTCACTCATTCATTCACATGGCAATGGTTAAGCGGCATAAAGGAACAGCGTATCACTAGAACAAAGGAACAATGAGGTTTGAAATGAACCAATCATGACCAACCTTCGTGATATAAAGTAATGGGCTCATCCAGCTGACCTTATCACCTTATTAAGCCTGTCAGTTAGCAGTTGAAACATTTCAATCTCCTTGTCAAACTGACTATAACCAGGATGAATAACAACAACCTTTTGCTCCACAAGAGTTACTTAATATTTCCCAGAGATAACAACAACAACAACAACAACAACAACAACAAAACTTTATTCCTTTTTCAATAATTTGCATGAGATGATGATAAGTCAGTGAATGATGTTTCTTGAATGATTTATTCTGCAGAACAAGCAGCAGTTGGAGCGATCCATGCAAGTGTTCAAGAATTATCTTGAAACTAAAGGAGCTGCACTGAGCCAGACAACAGAGTTTCTTCCTTATTATGCTCTACCATTTATTCCAGATCCAACTTCACATCCATCTTTCAAACCATTATTTTCGGTAAGGATGTGTGGTGTTCTATAAAATACAAGAAACAAATGATAGTACTGTGTGAAAGTGCAGAGGTATGTTGAGAAAGTCTTGATTTAGTTTGTTCTTGATAACATTGAAACCTTTCCTGGATGTTGCTTGGGCTGATCTTTTTTCCTCTACCTGTTCTTTACCTGAAACCACTGTTTAATTATTCTTGAGGCACAAATTATAGTACAAATGTCAATACAATACAAAAATGTAGAACTTGCTGCTTTTTATAAGTATAAGTGTACACACATTTAGAGGCTGTGATAAATCATACGCTTGAAGCATATCACAGCCTCTTGACTCTTGCATACATGTAGTTTGGCATGCACGTTTCTTTTGTTTTATTGCTTCTGGATGATCTAGTTGGTGCTGCTCCATATACTGCCATACCTTCTTTGGTGATTTTTGCATTCTTTCCTAAAGAATGTTGGAAGAATAACCCAGCAGAGTACCCAAATGAGTCATAAAGTAGTATATTGTGATTTTTGCAGGCAGCCAGCTACTTTTGACAACCTTGCATTGTACAGTGTATCTGGTTGAGATTTCTTAATGACATTTAATGATCTGCCATTTGTCCATCTCCGGTACAAGATTGAATAAACCAAAGACATTCATTTCTGTGAAGTGTAGGATTATCTGACTGATAGTTTAATAAAAAATTTCAGTTTGTACTATTATATTACTTGACTAACAAACTCTCCAAAAGCAAGTTGAGAAGAAACAACAAACACTGAAAAATCCAAGAAAAAGTTGAATTTGAAATTTTTATTAGTCATGAACAACTTTTATTTTCATATCAGAGTTGGAGTCAGTAGTACATCTTGTTTGCTCGTTTCTACCTATATACTATCATATATATATAATTTTAAATAAATTTTAATGAGCAGTTTTGTTTACTACTTCTCTTATCTTTCAGAGTTCTTGGAGTTCTGATCTCAAGGACAACTTGCAAGTGTTTCTCTCAGCAACTCTCAAATCTCAAGAAAAGCCACAACTTTACAATTTATTTAAAAAGAATTACACTGAACTAGAGAGAGAAAGGAAACTACATAGTGAGCAGCTTAAAAAATTACAATATCAGCTAACCACAAGGGAACAGAGGCTCTCACAATATCATAAAAGATACACCAAAATACAGGTGATCTACTCATCTGACCACTTTATATTAGTTTGCCTGATGGTACGGCTTTGATTTTAAACTTGAAATTTAATTCACACAAAGTCAGAGTTTAATATACTGGGGCATATACCCCAGGGGAGACTTCTATATATAAAAGGATGGATGTGCTCCTCAGAAATTTTGAAAAGAACCCCTAAGGGGTGCCAAGATCCTGTTTTGTGGGCGTGGCTTGAAATGTTTTTTTACCCCTAAGGGTTACCAATTCTAAAACAACACATTAAAGTTGTGTTCTTTTGGGATCAACCATTTCTGGTTGGTTGGGTTGGTTGGGTTTTTTCGTGTTCTATTGGGGAAAAACCTTTTGCCATTGGTTTGGTTAATCAACTTTTTCAACTGGCCTCAAATCAGATTGAAACGGTTGAAAAGAGCATTTACGTGATTATGTAATGTGATTGTAGTTCGCGTGAGGACTATTCCCAGCAGTTACCGCGTTTCATCCAAAAACGGTTGGAAAAGTGATCTATTGAGAAAGGTCAACTGCGTCAACCCAAACTGGTTACAGTTAAAACAGTTGATCCCAATAGAACACAACCTAACTGACACTTTAATAATTTTTGATAGTGATAAATATGACTGCTTTGAATACCTTCTACTCCTAAAATTGATTGTCAAATATCTTCTGTCATATTTTTTTCGGCTCAATACCCTAAAAGGTACTGCTAAAGCTTCTGCTTTGGACCTTTTGTGACTGAACACCTTAAGTGGTATCAGAAAAAAAAATTCAGCCATGTTGCAATGAAAACATCATACATGTAATATTTCAGCATTTTTTTTCTGTCCTAAGGCTGACTACCACAAGCTCATTGGTGTTGCTGCAGAATTAGTGGACTCTTTAGAAGATACTGTCCGTGGAAAAATGGTAAAGTTCTGTATCAATAATTGGAAATATATAGTTTAAACTGCTCCATGCCAGTTACTAAGAACTGTATTTTGTTTACAGGCTGTATAGTTTACTCTTTGAATGGTTTAAAATGAAACTTATTCTGTGTACATAATAACTATGAGTCTGCCAGTAACTTTCATTGGCAATACTCTATCTGTTTTTTCCAGTATATTCTTTGTTGTATTCCTGAATTTAAACCAAACATTATTCTCTAGTTTTGTAATAGCATGCTACTTCTATTGGCACTGTGAAACATTTTCTCTAAGGCTACCAGTACATTGTACTGGATATATGTATTTCTTTTCCAATCATTACATAGCTCCAGGATGTTCCTTAAAATATTTATTTACAATCGGTTGTTCTGGACTCTGCTTGTTCTTTGTATAAACTACTAGTACCACCATTTTCATGTAATCACTTTGCAGAACACCTTACTTGGTGTTGAGAGCAAAGTCTCCGTTTAGTGCAGATTTCCTTGTAGGGATCCTAATAGTGATTCTGTGCAACTTGTTAGAATACCTCTTTCTCCCAAATGCCCATTATTAAGCAGAGGTAGTGATATGGATGTTTCCAGTTAGTGGTGTAGTTGTTAATTACTAAACTGCTTTCCTTTAGAAAAGCAAATATTTGTATGCCTCTGTTGATATGATTATAAATCGTTGCTTGAACTGAGAAACTATTATACATACCAAGCTGATCAGAATGCCTCCAAAAACAGCTTAATAATGAAGCAGTTAGTAAATCATCAATCAAACAATCAAATAATTAGTATAAAGTAAATCAATATAAGGTTAATTAAAGCCATGATTATGTGAGCATCATGACGTTTTGTCTCACTTGGCTGTAGGTGACACCAGAGTACCTTCAAGACATTTGCATAAGACTGTTTGCTTCCTCTGCTGGGGAATCTCTTGATGTTAGCAAACCAGGAACAGTAAGTCTAATTCCATTTAATCTATGGTTTTAAAAGTAGTTACCTTTCATTGTGGCCTAATGGTTAGAGTCTTGTACTACAGATTGGGCAGTACCACTCAGTTGGATAATTGGGTTGCAATAAGTAGGCATCCCTTCTAGGGAGAGGAGTAGAAATACTGACTGACCTAGTAATGTAATTCTACAGAAATCAGGGTGAACTTTACAGGCGTGGATCCAATGAAGACTTGCCTTTTATCATAAACACAGCAAGACCGCGTACTCCAAGTAACAATATTAAAATGATGCAACTTGTTCAGCTCAGTGAATGAGAAATACTAAGTAAATATTAAAGTTCATCTTTGAGCACTTAGGTACCAAGTTACTATGCTGTAGCTTTCACATTCACTGCATGTATCACTGTGCAAATTTAGCACATGCTAAGGACGGTGCCTACTAAATACAGAGGTTTTTGCACCAGGTTAGGACCATGCAGAAAAAGTAGATCTTTGCCAGGGCTGTTGGAATCCACAAAGAAAAATGGGGGGAGTCACGCATTTTTTCGCGATAATTAGCCTTGAATCTTGACAAAAATGCTGACATCAGTATTTTTCTGTAAAAAGAAGGAAAGGATATTCCTTCACAGATTTCCTTAGAATTAGCCGTTACATACAGAAAAGCAAGCACATTTAAACAGATCTTTTAACTACATGGCAAATGGTAACATAAAAACCATTTTTGGCATGTTTTTAATAACAAAATTGTTGTAGCAGTGCTTTTAGCATGTCTGACAGCCTTCCCCTGGTTCAGCTAAATTACAGTCTAAATATCTTTTGCTCACAACCGGAGACTAATCATGTGTTGAATAGGCTTGCCAGTTCCATTTCATAACATAAAATGTAGGGGTAACCGCACATTTTTTAAAGTTACTCATCTTTTTTGAAAACTTTTACAGTACCGTTACATTTTTTCCTGTCACCTCCCCTGTAACTAAGACATTTGCATATCTTGCACTTGTTTTGCACGTGCACTACACCATCTGCAGGTACATGTTTACAGTTGGATTTCAGTATAATTTTTGACAGATAACAGCTAGGTTTTTTTCAGCTGGAAGACGTTAGCAGTTAGTGGTTAGCGATACGCTCCTATTCTGGTGTTCCTTGTTTAAGTAAAGGTAAAGGTAAAGTCTGCATGCGAGCCAAGTGGCCCATCAGGCCGGAGCTTATCCCGGTTTCTGTAGCATGAAG